AACATAGGCAGACACGTCAGGAAATAGGTCTGGATGCAGACCTCATGAATAACACCCCAAAAGCATGGGAAACCAAGGGAAAAATAAACAAATGGGACTATATCAAACTAAAAAGCTTCTGCACAGCAAAAGAAACAATTAACAGAGCTAAAAGACAGCCAACAGAGTGGGAGAAAATATTTGCAAAATATATATCTGACAAAGGATTAATATCCAGAATATACAAGGAACTTAAACAACTTTACAAGAAAAAAACAAGCAACCCAATTTAAAAATGGGCAAAAGAGGTAAGTAGGCATTTCTCTAAGGAAGATATACAAATGGCCAACAGACATATGAAAAAATGCTCAACATCACTCAGCATCCGGGAAATGCAAATCAAAACTACACTGAGATACCATCTCACCCCAGTTAGGATGGCTAAAATCCAAAAGACTCTGAACGATAAACGCTGGCTCGGATTTTTATGAATATTTTCTTAATCATTTTCTAACTTTCATTAATATCAGTGGAATTTTCAAAATTAGAAAAATGAGTCATAGAAGAGTGGAAAAAAAGAAGAGAAATAGGTGTCCAGTCTCCTCTTGATACTCATGGTTAATTAATGCTTAAAAATTAAATAGTATATATAGCCTCATCTTCCTCTATATACTCTGTAGGTCATATAGTGTACAACTCTGAGGGGCTATTTTCAACTCTAAACGTGAGTGGTAGCCAAGAGCCACATATAAGGTTGTGTAAGAATGTCTTACAATGAGATGTCTTTGTAGCTAAAGCTTCAGGTCACCACTGCTATTTGGAGCACACCCAATAAATAACAATTCTGCTTATATAAACTAAGAACAAAAAAATGGGGGGTACTGTTAGAAAAGAATTGTCAACAATTAAGGGGCAGAAATTTTCCAAGAGGACATAAAGAAAAAGGTCTTGCCTTTTAAAGTGTAGTATTTGCCCTAAACCAGCAGCCAGACTCAAAGTAGCATGACTGAAGGAGAGAATTAATTTTTATGAAAAAAAGAAAGGCAGAAAGTGTTTTCTCTCCTCTACAAAAATATCAGAACACTTAAGTATATATAGTGTATACATAGAAAAAATGACGTCAATGGTAAATAGCACAGCAGTATTGAATGCTCATACCTAATTTAATAGGTATGAGCTATCAGAAAGAAGAGGTTCCAGGCTTTAAAGCAACAGCAGAGTAAACATGCAGAAAAGCAAATGACCTATGCTGTCTACCCTAAGTGAATTATTGTGCAGTATATGCATGTATTAAAACAACACATTGCACCCCACAAATATGTACAAGTAAACATTAAAATATTTTGAATGAAAAAAAAATGAAAAACAAATGACTTAAAGTGAGAAAAATGGAGGATAAAGAGGTATTAGATGCTGCTCAGAAAACAGGAAGGAAAGGTATTTTTCTCCTAAATTGAGTCACTAATACAAGTCATACTAAAAATAATTCCAGCATCATGTAACTTTTTCACGCATTTAATGAAAAGGACTCATTTATATGCCTTTTACATTAAAAAGAGAGGACTGTATGTGATTTTTTTTTATATATTATTACAAGTCAAAGCCCCCTATATTTTTCAACCTTAGAAAGTTGAGAAGTGTCAAATCCTATTTTGCAGAGAAAAGGGTCTAATGTCATGGAGCAATACTGTCATCCTGTGACTATTCCAGACACACAGCCAAAGCACAAAACAAGACCTGCCAATGAGACAAGAGGAAGGTGAGATCTAGCCTGGTGTAAGGAAAACCTCATTTTTATATTTACTAACCCCTTAATACAACAAAGCACAAAGAATTTCATAAATAATTATTAACAAAAGACAATCTTGTACATTGCTTTACCTAAATTTAGCCTGCTTTATGCTAGAAGAAACATTATAAAACAAAACAAAACACGTGGTAAAACAAAACAAAACCCCCCCTGAATTTTTCAGTTCTTAAAAGTTCAAATGATAACTTCAAGACTTTCAAGTGTATTTTTGAAATACTAGGTAAATTCAACACCCCACAGCCACTAAGTGTTTATTCTGTATGCCTTCAGGTTCTTTATTATAGCTTGTAAAATTAACAGAGGGTTGATATAAATGATAATAACAACCACCATAGAATTGCTACTGCTTATTGAATCTTAACAATATACTAGGCACTATATATTATCTCAAATCGCCATCACAAGATGTCATTTTAAAGAAGCAGCAGCAAGCTTAGAGGTATTAATTATCCAATGTTATACAGCTGATAAATGGCAAGGCTGGGAATATGAATCCAAATCTACATGATAATACATTCATACTCTACTCTTTCCAGTAATTGACTAATGAATTTATTTCGGAGTCAATATCATTTAAGAAGACCAAGAAACTATAGTTTTATAAGAGGGTATTTCAAAAGTTCACAGAAAGATTCATATTATCTTTTAATTCTATTTTTCCACAAACTTTTTGAAGTACCCTCACATAATAGCTTGTATTGTCTCAATAAAATTTTTACTTTCAGCAATACATTTTTTATTTTTGAGTTTTTCTTATAACCTACAGCAATGGTTTTCGTACTGTTTCATAAAATCATAGTTTTCCGAAGAAAATCATGGGTTCCACAGATGTTTGATTGAAATTCCATTTTAAATCATGCTTTAAAACTTAAAAATTATAATAGAACGTAATCTGCACACTGAAATATGCCACTTATAGAACTGTAGTATTTTGAAGACATTATGTAATTGTAATATTTTTGACAACTTCTGCATTTTCCTTTACTTCTTTTCATGAACATCTTAGAATAAAGTTTCTCTTGCCATCCTGCACATATATGAACTTCCTATAACATACTGCTGATTTGAAAAGTTGTAGTTCTACCTCAGTCTGTCAAAAGAATTCATGTCTACTTACTGAAAATTGTGTAAGCAGACAGACTATCACAGCAGATACGTAACATGGTTACTTAAATAAACAGCAGTAAGGCCCAGCAAGGGACATGTGCTCAGCACATGCTTTCATCATAGCAGAATACTCAATTGGCCAACAACTGAGTGAGTAACATGTCTTGATGGGAAAATTATGTCTTATAGATAGTTGTAATTTTTTGACTTTTATATTCATATTTTACAGTGGAAGTGGATGAAACAAATCAAGACAACGGTGACTCTTGGAAGGACAGTGACTAGAAACACAAGACTTGACAGGACATTGTGGTTGGGTCCTCTTTTGTTTTTTAATCAGGTTGCTTGTAACAGGGATGTTTTCCGTATTTGAAAATTCATCAAGTTGCAAAATTATGATACATGAACTTTCCTATATGTAAATTATACCTCAATAAAAAAGTAAAAAGAAATAGAAGATTAAGTAAAAATAAAACGCTAGCTGATGTTTAGAGTTGGTTAGTGGCTTGTATTGCTATTTTTCTCCCAACTGTCTGAATTGGCTTAGTTGACGAGTATCCTGAGACTACAAAGCAAGTTAATTAAAAAGTTCCCATTTGCAAATATTTGTGGGCAAATCAGGAATATTTTTTTTTTCTTTCCTTTTTTTTTTTTTTGTCTTTTTTTCGTGTCCGGCAACGGACCGCAACCCTCAGTGTTGCGCCCGCACCGGACCGGGACCGGCAACAGGATCGCAACCCTCGGTGCTGTGCCCGCCCCTCGCTCAGCCAGTGAGCGGGAACCGGTCTGTATGTGGGATCCGAACCCTCGGTGGGAGCGCCACCGCGCTCCCAAGCAGCGCACTGTAGCAGTGCGCCACTGGGCCGGCCCAAGAATATTTTTATAAAAACAAAATATACAAACACATTGGAAGGCTGATGGTGACATGAGAATGTAATAAAATCTCTATAACTCCTAATATCAAAAATTTTAAAGGATGATTATTGTTTTCACTAATTTCATAGGTAAATGTTACAAATGTGAGCTTATGTTTTTAAACTGATAAAATACCATTTTTAACTATGTAAAGAGTTCCACATAAGATTTCAATGAGAGATAAGGTTTCCATTGCTTTAAAAAAGTTTAAAAAGGCATTATCACAAAGACCTTTATAAGCTTTAGGAAGTATAGTTGGTCTTAGGTTTTTCCGAATTTTGGAACATGACCTATCATTTTCCTAGAGAGGGAACTTGGAAAAGCACAATAAGACCAAAGTCCCATTTCTCCTACAAATGGCAGATTTAACTGAATACTCAGGAGGGTCACAGAAAATTAGTTAACATTCACCTACAGTGCTACACTCGTATGAACAGCATTCATTCATTTATTAATACACATTTATTTAAAATCAAACTTTACTTGGCCTACTAGCATTAAATGTTACCATTAGCTAGTTGCGATTATTTAAATTGTTAAATATAGTAGAAAAATGAGACATTTAAAGTTTTTATTGTCAATATGTTTATTACATATATTTTCCTAGAAATGAAGTCAATTAGTCAAAAAGTCCATATTCAGAAAATAGTAAGTTTTTCAAACACTTTTACCTGTTCCTGTCATTTTACTATCAGTAATTTCCATTAGGGCCTTTGGCTTAGTTGTTGCCTTATCTTGTACATCAAGGTTGACCTCTGCAACAGAGTCTAATGAATCAAGCAGCACAACTGGAAGAATACAAAAGAAAAAATATAAAGAATATAGAGCAATTTGTGTGGTTCTTTTGATCTAATAAAAATATTTTAATCATCTGCAATGCATATAAAAACAAATAGCATATAATCTTATTTATGTATAAGCATGGTTTAATACACATATAACAAGCATGGTTTTATATATATATAACAAGCATGATTTAATATATGTGTGTATATGTATAAAACAAACACGATATATAAATATAAATACACACACACACACACACACGAGCATACTTTTAAAAGTTTGTGGAAAAACTGAATGAAATGATAATATGAAGCCTTCCATAAACTTTTTAAAGTCCCTTAGTATATAATATACACGCATGTCCCCCCACATGCACACACATACACATACACACACACACACACACACACACACTCAGAAGGATACTTTAAAAAGTTTGTGGAAAACTGAATGAAAAGATAATATGAATCCTTCCACAAACTTTTTGAAGGCCCCTAGTATATAACAAGCATAGGTTTCTTCCAATGTACATTTATATGTGAAAGGCAAAGGGCTTTAGAAAAATAACAGAAAAGAAATATCCTCAAATATAACAGGGTGGATTCAAGATAGGCATAAGAGACACATTACTGAGAAAAGCTATGAACTTTAATTTCTTAGAGATATTTAAAAACAAAGACAGCAATTTAATCAGAATAATATAGATGAAATTCTGAACAGAGTAATTTTTTGTCAACTAAAATACATGAATATACATTACATTTACCATTAGCCAGCATGCCAGTTTTCTCTTCTTCCTAAATTAAAAGAAAATGATCATATGTTTTGATACCAAAATTATGTAAAACGACCACAATGCAAACAGTAACAAAATTTGAAAACCAGTGCTTTACTCCATTATGAAAAGATCAGGAACTGTACTTTCTAGAGTTCCTTCACCACTCTCAATCAACAATAATTTTTCAAGACTAGACAGACTGTAGCTCTGAGAGAACTTCTCAAAATCTCTTCTGGACTTTGGCAATTAACAAAATTAATTTAGGCCCGAAAAGGCCTTGCTTAAAGTATCTAGGTGCCAGGCTCATCTAGCCTGCTCAAAAATTCTCCTGTCTTTTGAACTTCAGGATAACAGGGTTACTTCACATAAGAGTCCTGCAATTACAACAATACCATTTTTCTCTTCTTGTTCAAAATTAATGACTAAATACAACTTCTACTCATTGTTTTATCTACATTTCAAATGACACAATTTTCAGAAGGGTGGGCCACCAAATTGCAAGACAGATGAAATTCTTTAATATTATAGTTTCCCTTAGAATAAGTTTTCTAATTAGTATCACCCATATTTCCCACCTGGCTAGGCAATGTGTAGGGTTCTTTGGTAATAACAGAGCTTTAATTCCTTCCTGTTTTGATTCTTACTGAGGCAGCTCTGTACAAGGCTTCCACATTTAGGATGACACATTTTCAAGCAGGATATACTTCGTTAATGTAGTGCACTATCATGCCTCTACTGACCTATTAATTTTTTTCATAAAATACTGTAATTGTCATATTCCAAATATAAATACCATTAAATTTCTAAGGATACTCATCAGGTCATATGAATCATTGTGTTATCTTTAAAGTCATCTTGTTTTTTCTTGTTTCCTCTTGATTTTTTTATGAGTGACATACAGATACACGAGGACAAAGTACTAAGTAAATTTAAAAATGAAAGTATTTATGTATACCCAGAAAGCATTCTCTCTTCTATTCAGAGAGTCTATGGTTTCATACATGTTCAAAACACCTAGTTCTAACATGCATTCCCAAGAGACTGTCCAGATCAAGAACAAAATAACAAATAGAAATTGTCCTCCTACCTACTATTAGATAGCTTCAAAGATAAGTTCTACACAGAATGCAATATGTAGTAGTAGCCCTGAACAAGTGTCCGTAAGAACTGGGAAATAAGAGAACAGACCATGGCACCACTGAATATGAATGCAATAATGTAATTCCTTATCTTAGCCAAATACATTTCAGACATTAATGTCACCACTACCATAAATACTAAGGAGGGGTATTTGCTGTAGTACAGGGACAAGCCCTATCCAAAAAAGTGTATTTCAATATAACTATTTAAAAATTAGTTTTGAATTTTTAATTAAGTTTTCAATTTCTAAAGCTTAACTTAAGGAAATTACTTGCTGAAAGAAATCCCTTATAAAATCAACTGGCATGATTTTTTCATTAAAATTTATATTGAATTGACATCCTGAGTTCAAGTGTTTAACTGAGTGTTCAGAGACCAAGTTTACGACAATGAGGAAGACTATAAAGAACACCAGATTTCAAACTCTTCATGTGGCAACAGTTGGCTAAGTTGATGAAAGAAACTACAAAACTGTCAAATATATAATTGATGTATATACCTGTTTGGGTACATTTATTTTTTCTGATTTGAGATTTTCTTTGGAATGAGTCTCTACATCATTAGTAATCAAAGGTGCATCAATGTCCTCTTCATCTTCAAAATCATCACTGTAATTTTCTAAAGAAAATAATTTTAAAAAGTACAACAATCATACTGTCAAAAAAGTCAAATTCCAGGAAGACTGTTGATTTCCAAAGGAAGACGTCTGTATGAGAATAACTTATTGAAATATTAACATAAAGGTACCTTTAGAGAAAATATTTTTTGCAAATATTTAATGAGAGTTTAATTTGTAAGACTATCTTAGTACTTTTTGTACTTTCAAATAGTTCTAAGAGTTTTATATTTTTAATCTTCTATATTATTAACCAACTAAACATTTCTAGAGCTGTCCAAAAGATTTTATATTACATTTAAAATAAAACTTTTAATATATTTTTTTCTAAAGACAAAAATCTCCAACTGATTACTTATAAAAGGCAGAACTTTTATGAAATGCTGACACTCTTGAAAAGGTTGGATTTTGCTTATTTTAAGGTGATTGTTTTGGCCTCTGCAGGTATGATTTAAGATCATACCCTCTACTGTAAGATTTAAACAGTACTCATGAAAGACTTATCTCTGACCCCTTCCCTTAGGTAAATACTGGTCCTATATGCTATATGACCTTTGCTATTTCCCAATTCTGGGCATTTCTCGGCTAAAGCCCCCAAATTATATCTCAATGGCTTTGCAGCAGAAGGAAAAGGTGTACCCATGTTAACTGATGCCATCAGTCTATTCATGGGGAGGGTGGGGCAGGGATTATTTGGCCAGGATCTCTTCATCAATTTTTAACTTCTTGTCTATAGCTCCTAAATCAAAGGACTGATTGAAATCAAGGGCTGCAGAAGGGGAACAGCCTTTTCAAAGTGGAACTGACATTTTAGAAACAAACATAATCTTATTTGTATTTCAAAAAATTATATCACGTTGAGAAACAGGATGGCCTGATGGGAAAAAGACTGCATGAGGTACTAGGAAGTCTGCTCCTAGAATGTGTGTCTCTTACTCTTCTCTTAGAATGGGGGAGGGGGGCAACTTGAGTGTACTGGAAGTTTGGGAAAAAATTTGCAAGGGCTTGGAAGTTAAATAGGATGCTTCTGGTGAGATCTGGGTACAGAAACGTCTCCTTTTTCGTTCATAAAAAATATGAGGTTGGAACAACATGGGTATTGTAACTTAGGCAGGTAAGCTAGCTTAGTTGGTTAACTATGTTAATATCTATATTCCGCGGCTGAGAAGCTCAACTCTGTTTCTCTTCCACATGAGGAAAAACTGTGATTTCCTAAGTTTAGTAGACATTAAATTCACAAAACAGTTATGAGCAATTACTTTTTATCAGATGTACTTCTAGGTACTAGGACCAATATAAGATGATTGACACTTTAATATTCTAGGTTGGAATCAGAGATAAGTAACGTCAGAGATAAGACTTGCTTAAGAAAAGATGATGAACAAGGAGAGAAGAGATATGGAAGAATATGACACTGAATTTAGACAACAACTTGTGATTTAGGACTCAACGGAAGGGGCTGTACTCTGTGTGTGTGTGACTGCAGACAGCAGTTAAGAAACAGTTCAGGTGGTACAGCATAGTGCTTAAGAGCATGACCTGGAGCCAGAAGGCCTACATTCAATTTCTAGTTCTATTACTTTCAGCTGTAGAGCCGTTGGCAGTTCACATATTCTTTGCCTCATTTTTCCCATCTGTAAAGTGGGGATGATAATAGCACTTAACTCAAAGGGTTGCTGAGGAGATAAACTCTTAAGGTATTTAAAACAGTGATTGATATATAATATACAGTATATAAGTGTCACCTATTGTTTACTAACAGTAATTATTGTTAGTATTTTTATAGCTAGTCTATCACTTAATCTGAATCAAAAGTTAATAAGGCCGAATACTATTTCTGATTGGGAAAAGTGCTAATCTAATGCACGTTTTTTTTTTTTTTTAAAAGATGACCGGTAAGGGGATCTCAACCCTTGGCTTGGTGTTGTCAGCACCACGCTCAGCCAGTGAGCAAACTGGCCATCCCTATATAGGATCCGAACCCGTGGCCTTGGTGTTATCAGCACCGCACTCTACCGAGTGAGCCACGGGCCGGCCTTTTAATGCACATTTTTAAAAAGTACATTTTGTTATTTTCATTAAGTAACTGAACAGCCTATAGGCAAAACTACCATCCAACATATGAATAACCAATCCCCTCTTCAGGAATTTGTCATAGATAAAGTAGGTTCAAAGTAAGAAGAAAATATCATTGGTAGACACAGAGAAAAAGGAAAGAAATAAGAAATAAAGGAAAGGCAAAGACCATGTCAGTGATTTCAGAAACAAACATCAAGGCAAATTAAGTTTACATAAAAATGAAAGCTGAGGTGGTCTCAGTTGGAAAAAAAAAAAAGAAAAAAATGAAAGTAAAATCAAATTAAGAAGATGATTCTCATATGAGAAATATCAGAGAGAATAACATCCAAGCTCTTGCACATTGTTTGAAAAACAATGAGAATATTAGGCTAATGATATTTTAGGGCATTTTTTTAGTTTAAGGATAGAATTCAGAATTTTTGTACACATACATATATATAATGAGAATATTAATTTATAGCACTATGACCTTTTTGGCAGGAAGATGTTACACAGTCAAGGTATTGTTTATTATTATATTCTCTACCCTTGTATAACTTTGAAAATACCTGCATAAATAAAAAATGTCCTTAAAATTCAGATAAAATAAACCAAATTCAATGTAAAATATCTAAAAGATCCCTTTGGGAGACATTTTTCACCCTTTGTTGGCAAATTTTGCTGCAAAGTTTAATTTAAGTATGATCTAAAGGACTTTCTCTTCTGCCATGTTGGAGTTAAAAGGATTGTACTTAACCTCCTTTGTAAACAATTAGAACTGGACAAAATAAATGAAACAGCTATTTTCAGACATTAAACAACTGGCAGCAAAAAAAAAATGATTCCTAAAATATAATCAAGTGAGCTGAGCCCTACAATTAGCTGAAGGTATGTATATTTTGGAGTGCTGAGCAGGGAGGAAGAGATCAGGACAGTCGACAGAGGTAAGAATTCAAAAAGGCTGAGGCAATTAGAAGTTGTAGGGCAGCAGTCAAGAGAGGAGATAACTATGTAGAAACAGTGCTCCAGAAATCTGCATAGGGGGCCCCTTGAGGCTTTGCTGAATACCAAGCTAAGGTGTAGGATGAACTGAGAGCAACTTGGAAAGCTGTAGGCTGGACAATTTCCAGAACTCACATAGGGCAGAGAGATATTTGAGCTCTAACCTGCTTGAATGGAAAGTCCTTGCTGATTACTAGGCACATTCAGTAGAAATGTCAGAAGGGATGTGCCTTAGTAGTAGGGTTAAACAATACCTAGAGTGGCTACTCTAGACTTACCCTAACAAAGCATAAGAAGAACCTTGAAAGAATCAAATGGCAGGATTGACCATCTACCATACTTTTTAAAAGAAGAAAATGAAATCCAGACACTCTACAATGTAAAACCCACGAAATCCAATAAAAAATTACTAGACTCCTAAGAAGCAGGAAAAACTGTCCCCAAAAAGCAGCCAACAGAGAGTCCCAGAAATGAACAAATATTGGGATCTATAGAATATGCGTAACATTGAGGACTTGAAAAAATGAACATAATGAGGAAAGATACTAAAGAGATTAAAAAAAAAAAAGGAACTTTTAAAGAAAAAAAGAACAACAACAATGGATGGGATTAATAGCAGTTAAAAAAAAATCAGTGAACTTGAAGGCACAGCAATAGGAACTGAAGCACAGAAAGAGAAAAAGGTTTTAAAAAAACGGAACAGAGTCTTAGTGCCCTGTTAGGACAAAACTTAGCATTCTACTATACTTGCAATTAGGGTCAGAGGGCAGGGGCAGGAAGCAGAAATAATATCTGAAGAACTAATGGCCAAAACATTTCTTGATTTTGAAGGAAACTATAAATCCACAGATCAATGATCCTCAACCAACTCCAAACAGGATAAGTACAAGAAAAGCACACCAAGACACATCATAATCAAAGTGCCAAAATAGAAAGATAAAGAAAAAATCTTTAAAACAGAGGAAAAAAAGATACAATATATATAAAAAAACAATAATAGGAACCACCAGTGACTTCTCAGGAGAAATAAGGTAGAGGACAATAGAATGAAATCATTAAAGTGTCCAAAACAACAGCAAACTCTACCTAAAAGTCTATATCAAACAGAAGTATTCTTCAAAAACAATGGCTAAATATATTTTCAGACAAATGAAAGCCGAGAGAATTTGTTGCTTGTGGTAACCTGCACTACAAGAAATGTTAAAGGAGGTTCTTTAGGCTAAACAAAAGTAATTTCAGGTAGAGACTCAAATCTATACAAAGATATACAAAGCACTAAGAATGGTAAATATGAGGAAAATATAAAATTTTACATAAATATACATTTTTTATATTTCTTAAAAATATTTTTAAATGATGATTGTTTTATCAACAACAACAACAACAATAATAATGCATTGTGGGGTTTTTAAGGCATGTAGAAGAAAAACACATGACAAAAATAGCAATATGGTTGGGGGAAGTTTACTGTTGTTAAAGATCATATAAATAACTCGATATAATGTTATTTGAAAGATAGCAAGTTATTTGAAAGACTCTAATAAGGTAGATATATATTGTGAATCAGGGCAACTGAGAAAAAAATACAACGAAGAGGTATGACTACAGAGCCAAAAGAAGAAATAAAATGGAACACATAAATACTCAGTATAATAGAACGAAGGACAAAAGCAACAATAACAAAAAGATTGAAAGATAGAAAATAAATGGCAAAACTGCAAACAACCATATCAATAAACACATTTTTGTAAGGGGTAGAAACACTTCAATTAAAAGTCAAAAATGGTCAGATTGGACAGAAAAGCAAAACCCAGCCATATGCAGTCTACGAGAGAGCCATTTTAAATATAAAAACAGACAGATCAAAAGTCAAAAGATGGAAAAAGGTATAATACCCTACAACCACACTTTGGAGGTCTTTGTCCTGGTTTCACAGATTCCCACAATCCTGGCATAAAAATTCTTTTTTGATCTTCCCAATTGGTCCACTGCACACTCTCAACAAATAAGGCAGTAATTCACTTTTAACAACTGCTTCATAGCTCAGATTACTTCACTCTACCTGTTCAAAGCTCTTTCCAAGGCAACATAATTTTCCTTTCAATTATTTTTCTTTTATCAATGTCTTTATTAAAAGCTTTATTATCTTTTCAAATATTATACACTTTAAAATCAATAAAATTACCTCCCAGTTCTTTATGTTTTGATTCATCCTCATGTTTATCTTCCGTTAGTTCAACAGTGGCTTGATTACTGAAAAAAATATTTATTTCATTTAGCATTATGTTACTAACACATTTTCATGTAACTCTTTGTGGATATTTTTTAAGAATCTCTAAAAATTACATATTTCTTCTCAAGTACTCTTGTTCTATCAACAGCTAAGGATTTGAGAGCTGTAAGAAAATGTTTTGAAAATAAAGGATCCTCAAAGCCTATGACTAATTGTAGCTACAAAAGAAATAAAAAGGAAAAAAAGTCATATTTCTTAAATTTATATGCAAATACACACAACTGTATATATAAATGTGTGCATTTACATGTATACATGTTCTCATGACCCTGATATCTTCTACACTAAAGATTAGAACTGACCACAAACTATGAGAAACAGTGAAGTCTATACGGAGGCCAGAAAAAAATGCCAACGTCAGCATTAACATCCTAATAAGCAATTTAATCCTGAAATGGAAGCTGAATAGGAGCCTTAAACCAAGAAAAACTCAATAAGGGGACAAAGGAGCCCGAGCACGTTTTAACTATATTGGATAAATCAGTTCATATACTGCTTTCTTTCAAACCAAGGAATCAGTTCTACCTTTTTTTAGTCCATCAACCCTGTCTTTAGTGAGATCATTAGCAGACCTGAGAAACTATAAGACTATAATAACAATAATAGTGTCAAACACCTAATATTGCATACTCATTGCTATGTTGTACTCTGACCAGCCTGTTCTATAGCAGAAGTATTAATAGTTAAGAATACTGTTAAAAAAAAAAATAACAAAAAGTTAAGAAACATTACAAAGGGGCAAAAAATTGTGGCCAACAAACCAGTGCATGCTTAATTTGTGTTGTCACTGTTAGGAGAGGCAATCACCATGGGCCCTGAGTGTCCCTACATGTTCTTGCTGAGTATGCCAAGATGCAAAGCCTTGACCCTTCTTTACCAAGCCATTTCTCCAGGTTGTGTTTGCAGTAAGCCATCTTGAGATGGGATATTTCCACCCAGACAAGGAGCAGGCTTGTTTCCACTTACTATAAAAGTGGTAGATTCCCCAAGCTCAGTGTTCCTCTCCTGTAACACAACCCACTGCACGTGCAGACATTCATCATGGATCTTTTGCCCTGCCCCCATGGGACTAAGTGGTACATGGGGAACTGATGCAAACAAATGCTGACATTTGGGTACTGCTTTTGTTGAAGGAATAAGGTCCTTTGTTTTTGACCCAGGATCTTGTGTCTACTGTCAACATCCATAAAACTGCCAGGCTAACTTGCTAGCAAGTAGGGTATAAATCTTAGACCCTGCACAGTTCATAACAGTAAATGTACTGTTTTATCCTGTAAAAGAAACTAATCACCTTGAAGAGATGAGGCACTCTAATAAAAAGAGGTTATAATGCTCCTGACCCTGAACTTAATTATACTTTCATGTTCTCAAAATCCTAAATAAAATTGTAATCTGATTTCCACTCATAATAAAAAAAAAAAATTACATGGATAACTAAACCGTGGAAATTTAAGGCCTCAGGTTACACAGAGGTCTTGAGAATGGCAATGGTCTACTAAAGAGAGAACCAGCACAGTCAACTAGTAGGATTTCCAGGATAAATGAGATTTCCTGATAATCACCAGGGTCAACCACACATAGAGGTAAGACATAGACCAAACTTGTCTCTGGTTCTTTCTTCCCTTTCTGTTCTTTATTCCTGAGTTTATAATAGTAACCTGGACTCTCTTATTTACTTTATCTGTGGAAAATCACTTAATAAATTACTTTCCTAGTAAGAACTTGTTGGCAATGTACTATACCTCAATAGCATCTGAAGTATGAAATATCAGATATCTAGAGGCAGAGTGGGCTCTCAAATACAGATCAACATATTCTGTTAAAACATAAGAAAAACCTACACTATAATAATGAATTAAACAGAGTTAAAGTTTAAAAAAATAAGATTTATTTTTACCTGTTACAAAGTTTCCCTATTTAAGTCCATGCCCAACCTTCCAAAAATATAGAAAAACACAAAAATCATTTAATAGTTTATACTGTATTTACTTTACCTCTGTAAAGATTTAAAATGTGTGGAGTCATTAGAATCCAATTCCTTATTTAATCTTGAATAATCAATGGAAGATGTCAAGCCATTCTCAAGCCTGGCAAAAAATTGTTCTTTCTCCTCTTGTTCTTCTAATGTGTCCAATCCCAATCCAAGAATACTATGATTGAGCTCAGAAGCTACTAGTTCTAAATGGAAAGCACAATTATATTTTATTAATATACAGAATTTTGATAAAATTCATTTTAATAACGCACTTATTCACATTACATAGCAAATTTAAAAAATGCTTATAAATATTTTATTTAATGTCTTATCTACCAAATATAGATTCATAATCAAATCAATGAAAAAAGCCTTCTCTAGAGTTCTAATTCTAAATCTCTAGGAAGATATTAAATCTGTCTACATGCTTCAGTAAAGGAGTCTCCGAAACAGTAATGAGTTAATTTTTGAAAAATTCTAAATATAAGCATAATAATTAATACTTTATCAACTAAAAAGCCTTCTCTAGAGTTCTAATTCTAAATCTCTAGGAAGATATTAAATCTGTCTACATGCTTCAGTAAAGGAGTCTCCGAAAGAGTAATGAGTTAATTTTTGAAAAATTCTAAATATAAGCATAATAATTAATACTTTATCAACTCATATCCCTCACATTTCTTACCATTTGTTTCTAAGCTGTCAATACTTAAGATAGAGGTTCCACTGCTCTTAAGAAATTGAATCTTTTCAGCAGAGTCCTCATCTATTTCCATAACAGGTTGAGAAGTCTTCTTTGTTTTCAAATAGCTTACATTTGTTCCAAGCAGTCCTAGGAATAGGATTTAATATAGGTGAATATTTATGTTCGGAGAATTGTTTTGACCACTATGCCAACAATTATGCTGTTATGCTAATTTTGTGCATATTACCTACAAAATAAATCTGCTCTATTAAGTAAAAATCTATCAGACCTAAAATTCACAAAAGAAAAATTATAATTTTATTTGAGTACTGTGCATATTAAGTAGAATATTTCAATAATTTGCATGATGAGACGAGATTTTTAAAAATTCTTTGAACTACAAGTACTTAATACAGTATACCACACCATTTTAAAAAAATATCTTCTGCCTTACTCCCTCTGTTTTTGGAGTATTTTTGTTGCTCGACTCTACACTACTGAAAATAGACTGTGGAGGGCGTGAACCAGTATAACAAAACACAAGGGGGGAAAGTAGGAACGATTAAGGACAATGACAGGGCTAGACAAGATCCTTTCTCGGTGTAAATATTTCAAGAAAATAGATGGAAATATTAAAAGATCTTTCAAAGTCATAATTTCTAAAACACTGGAAACAGTGGCTCACTGCAGGAGAGATTATCACATCAGGACATGTGTGTATTGTTGGGGAAGGGGAGGCTATCATAATCACAGTATTTTGGAATTTGAAATTTTCTCTGAGACTAATATATATTAAACATATTAAAAATGTTTTATGACTGATTAGATATAAGATGATATTAAGGAATGATTGATATTTCTTGGATATTATAATAGTTATATTTTAAAAAGAGAGTCCTTATGCGAAAAGTACTTTGAAATATCTGTGAATAGAAGTGATACACTGTTGGAGGTTTGTTTCAGTTATAATCCAGTTGGGGGGTTGGAGAACAGGTGCGGATGTAGATAAAACATGACTGGCCATTAGTTAATAACCGTTGTAGCTAGGCAATGGGTACAAGGCGTGCATTAGTCTGTTTCTGTTGCTTATAATATACATACCTAAAACTGGGTACTTTATACAAAAACAAAATTTATTGTTTACAGTTTCAGAAGCTAGGAAGTCCAAAGTCCAGGGAACACATCTGGTAAAGGCCCTGATGGTGGTCACAGAAACACAGGGGTCTCACATGGCAGAAGGACAGAGCAGAGAAAGAAAGCAACTAATCTCCTCACTCACTCTCCTTTTAAAGCCACCAGAACCACTCCATTATTCCAAGAATGGATCAATTCATTCACGAGAGTACAGTCCTCACAATCTAACTGCCTCAAGGCCCCACCTTTCAATTACCATTAACAGGATTTCCTACCCTCAACAGTTACAGTGGGGATTAAGCTTCAGTGACTTTGAGGGGCCATTCGATTCACTGCAAGGGGGTACATTCTACTTCTCTCTGTACAAGTCTCAAAAATTTTTTAATAAAAAGTTTTAAAAATGTTCCACGAACCCTGGGCAAGAAGTATAATGTATGTTCATATTGTAAAGGTTTTGAATATCATCTATTCTTTTCAGATCTTTTGACAATCTATGTGCCTAGTATAGTGTTACTGCTGGCCACACAATGAAGGCCCTTATCATTGTGAAGGTTAAAGTCTAATAGGAGAAGCAGACTTAATAACAAATGTTTACTGGTGTGTACTACAGGCCAGACATTGTTCGAAATGCTGGGGATAAATGCTGGTGATTCCCTGCTCTTGTGAAGCTTACATTTATGTGAATAGAGACAGGCAATAAGTAAGATAAGTATGTTACAATTAAATAGTACATTAGAAAATGATAAATGCCAAGAAGAAAAATAGAATAAGACAGGGAATATGGAAGCACAGGGCACTGCAACTTTAAATAGGGTGGTCAGGAATGCCTTCACTGACCAGTCAAAATGTGAGCTAAGACGTGATGGAGGTGAGGGACCAACCCATGTGAATATCTGGAGGAAGAGGAAACAAGTGTAAAGCCTCTAAGCCAGGAGAATGCCAGGCACGTGGGAAGAATAAGAGGGCCACTGCAGTTATAGTGGCACGAGCAAGGGAAAGGTAGTGTAAGTTGAGAGGCCAGAGAAGTCAGGGCGCAGGGCACAGGGCTGGGGATGGGGAAGTAGGGCAACTTGTGGGTCATTAGTTTTTATAAAGAGTGACCTGAGAAGCTATTAGAAGGAGTAGGTGCCTATGATGTGGTGGAAGACAAGATTTTTGGTGTAAATTAGTTCAAGGAACTCAGAAGTCAGGTTGTTAGAAGGATTAGCTACATGGTTGATGAAGTCACCAAGAATTAGATGAGAGAAATGGAGACTGACAGTGAAGCAGGAGCTAAAATCTTTGAAGAATGAGGAGGAATAACCCAGAGATCAGTAGATAACTGCAACATGGAGAGGTAGTGGGTAGTCTGATGATGTGGTTCATAAGGAAGTTGGAGGGAGAAATGTCTGGAAGGAGCAATGAAGAGCAACCTACCCCTTTTCCAGGTCTAATGGAACAAGAGACGTGGGAAAGAGAACAGTAACTGGAGAAGGTTACTGGAGAAGGAGCAGTGACCACAGAGGACAGTTAAATGTAAATTACAAATCTAAGTGCTTTGAAGGAAATATATGAAATATTAATGGTGGTAGAGGCCCTAGAAAATGCAAGAATATTTTGGCAAGGAAGTAACACTTCTGCTAAGATGTGAAGGATGGTGGGAAATAACTAGGTGAATTGGGCAAGGGAGAGAATGCAGTCAGGGGGAACAGGAGGTACAAAGAGTCGACAATGGCAGGCCACATTTGAGGATGAAAAAAGGCCAGCAATGCTGGACCCAAAGAGTGAGGGTGAGTCTGGAAAGAAATAAACCTACAGCAGAAAGTCAATGGTTAGCTCATGCTTGTCCTCATAGGCCAGGGGTAGGGTTTTGCTCTTTATTCCAAGTGCACTAGAAAACACTGGAAAAGTTATACAATATTAAAGTTTCTTTACTATTATTTGTTGTAAAAAACCTGATAAATGGAAAAGGTAAAAATCATCACTTCTGGTTAGAAGGAAGCCTTACTAGGAAGTCACAAATTCCAACTTCTATTTCCTAACTAGGGTCCTCCTGGAAAGGGTTCAGAATCAATTTATATTATGGCTTTGTGTGAATAATGGTTTCACTGGATCAAACAGTAACTTCCATACAGCTGCAAAAAAACAAGACACACATCTACAGACACTTCAAATGAAAAAGTGCATGCCATGGTTGGGGTGCCATGTAGCAACTGTCCAGGGACTCATCCTGGCTCTGAAGCTGGACTCTGAGACATGACCCACACCAATCAAGCTCTTAAGAGACTAATACAACAGAAACCAAGATCCAGTTCAGTTATTTATGAGAAGTATAACCAGAAAGAAGATCAAACAGTTTTACCACCTAGGCAGAACATTTCACCCTCCTCATGGCAACTGAAATACAAAGCAAAATTATAATGCAGAAGTTCCTCAATGTTAATATTTAATGTTATCTATCTAAGATTGGCAACGTATTCCTTTCCTCAAGAGGGCTGTTCAATTCTGCCTCAGAAACTTCTATATTCTTAATGGCAGGAATCATACTTTGTATACTAGTGCTTAGTAGAGAACCTAATATGAACTCAATAAACGTTTGTGATTGAACCAGGAATCAGGTTATGTCCTGGGGCAGAAAAATACTCTCTCCTGTGTTTAAGTGGACACTGTCAAAGTCTGCTTCTTGACTATCCTTTGCTTCTTTTATGAATCAAATCTATTTTTGATTGATACATTCTTTTAAAAAAATATTAATACCTTTAGTCAGGCTACATGCAAGTGTTTCTTGTCTAGGAGCTATTCTTTCCCTTTAGGGTGAGTTTGCATATTTCTGCTCTGATTAATTATCTTCTAGAAAAAAGGCTTTGATGCTAATTAAGTTCCAAGTTTTTGTCAACAATTCCAATAGTATTTCATCCTTTAATATCCTTTTCAAGCACCACAAGGAGAAAAAATTCTAAAAAGAATTCTTCACATGCAAACTTGAGCACTGTTGCATGGTTTGCAGATTTAAGAAAAAATGTACTGAATCTTTCAATAAGGTAGAAGATACCAGCCATTTAGTCCTTCCCTGAAGTGCTGAGGGTCCTGGGAATTCAACCATTTCAATGCAGTCTTTTTTACATTGTTAACTGAAGAAAGTTGGGTGCCCTTTAAAGATTTTGTAAGATTAGCAAACAAAAAGAAGTCAGAAGGAGACAAATCAGAACTGTAAGGTGAGTGCTTAATGATTTCCCATCAAAACTCTCACAAAATTGCCCTTGTTTGACAGGAGGAATGAGCAAGAGTATTTTCGTGGTGGAGGACTCGCTGGTGAAGCTTTCCCAGGCATTTTTCTGCTAAAGCTTTGGCTTTCTGAAAATACTCTCATAATAAGCATATTTTATCTTTCTCTGACCCTCCAAAAAGTCAACAAGCAAAATACCTTCAGCATCCCCCAAAACCATTGCCATGACCTTCGCTCTTAAACTGTCCGCTTTTGCTTTGACTAGACCACTTCCACCTCTTGGGAACCATGGCCTTGATTGTGCTTTGTCTTCAGGATCATGCTGGTAAAGCCATGCTTCATCTCCTGTTAAAACTCTTCAAAGAAATGCTTTAGGATCTTGATCACACTTGTTTAAAATTTTCAGGGAAATCTCTACTATTGTCTGCAGCTGATCTGGGTGCAACGGTTTTGGTTCCCAACAAGCAGAAATTTTGCTCAACTGTAATTTTTCAGTCAAAATTATGTAAGCTGAACCAATTGAGATGTTGGCTGTTGTTTCTGCTGTTAATCATCAGTCCTCTTCAATCAGGGCATGAGCTAGATTACTTTCTTTTTTCTCACGAATTGACGTGTATGGTCTGCTGCCTGTGAATTTTATCTTTAACATAATCTCATCCCTTCTTAAAACAAGTTATCATTTGAAAACTGCTGATTTCTTTGGGGCATTATCCCCATAAGCTTTTTGTAAAGCGTCAATAAGTTTATCACTCTTCCACCCAAGCTTCACCATACACTTGATATTTGTTCTTGCTTCAATCTTAGCAGAATTCATGTCACTCTGATAGGTTCTCTTTTCAAACTGATGTCTTACCCTTCTTGGTGCCTCAAATTAGATCCTGTTCAGATACGTTATAACAAGTTAGTATGAGTTTATTTTGGTGCAAAGAAATTTTGCAGTCCATGCATAGTGTTTTCATAATACACATTTTCAGTGTACCTTTTGAAAGACACCTCATGTATATATTTAACAGCTGATGAGGGCTGAGAGGGCCTTTTTTCCCTTGGGGACACTAAATAAACTGTGTGTTGGGCACCTGTGTTTTGACTGCAACCTATCATATGAGGGCAAGTGTGGAATTTTCTTCCTGTGGCATCATGTCAGCACTCAGAAAATTTTAGATTTTGGAGCATTTCAGATTTTGGATTTTCAGCTCAGGGGTGTTCAACCTGTAAATGAATGTTAGAGTAGATTTGACAGTCACTTCTCTGTTCTTTATGCTGTATATTAAGGAAATGTACAAAAGTGTCTTGAACTTGATGGAGCTTATGGTAAGAAATAATGTTTATATTTTTTATTTTTATCTTTTAATTCCATTTTCCATGAATTTTTTGAAATTCCCTCATATCTAGTGACATCTTTGCTTTCTGATGGTTTAATGTACACAAACTGTTTCATGAACAAAATTATTTAAAATATTATATAACAAGAAAAATTACTTTCAGGCTATGTGTATAAGGCATATATGAAACATAAATGAATTCTGGTTTGTACTTGGGTCTCATCCCCAAGATATCTCAGTGTGTATAAGCAAATATTTCAAAATCTGAGAAAATCCAAAATCTGAAATACTTTTAGTCTCAAGCATTTTGGATAAGAGATTCTCAACCTGTATTAAACACAATTATTATTTATTGTTAAGGGTCAGGAGATATAAGGAAAAAGAAGTGGGAGCCATAAAGCTCCCAACCTATAGGCTACAACTATCAACACAATGTGTAAGTTCTATTATGGGTATTTTGATATCAAAACAAAGGAGAAAATAATTGCATTGACAACAAAGCTAGAAGAGTTAGTGAAGGATTGCAAAAAGTGATGATGCCAAGCTTTACTGAACAATAAGGAAGAGAAGACAGGCTTGCTAATGGCAAGGAAGCATGAGCTAAGAGGCATGGGAGCCAAAGGTTTCCCAGGAGAAAAGAAATAATTGAGTGTGGCTGGAGCACACTAAGCTAGAAAAGAGGGTTTCAGTCAGATTATGTAGAGCCCTAATGGTCATATTAAGGAATCCAGGCTTAATTTATGGGGAAAAAACAAAAGCCTCAGGTAAATTTTCCCCCCAGAGAAGAGATATAGAAATTCTATCAATTTACAAATTTGTGCTTAACACTGATCCAAAAATAGTGCGAATGCAGGCACTTAAATAGCAGTCTGGTTTTTTTTTTTATTGGTATGGCAGTATCATATATAGTAAGTATTCCATATATGACATATACTTTCTACATATTGTAAGAAAAACTCAAGAAAGTAATTTTGCATTTGTAAAAATGTGACTAGGAATAGTTCTGAAACAGGTATAAACATGTGTGCCAGAAAGGATCAATAATGGGGTCTATACCATCAAGCAGTAAATTATTATTTTTTAACTACTGTTATTAACAAAATGTGATATCAAAATCTATAGATGTGTTAAAATCTTCCCAATGTGATGACATTAGTACACTGCCAGAATATTTTATCAAATCACCTTAAATCAATTTACCATTAAACATTATTATAACATATAAATATTCCTGAACTATTCATCAACTTTGAGTAAATATAAATTACCTCAATGCAAAATAACCTGATAATGCAAAAACATAGATTCACAATTACATAATAAGTGTCTAATAAAGTGAATATGAAAATGAATTCAAACCTCAAAAATGCACAGTATTAGTGTTATTTTCAGTAACAAAATCCAGAATTAAAAGTCTTGACTGACCCCTTGTGGTCAAATAACTTGAAACTAAAAATTAGCAATATTTACCACCATCTTCAAAATCACCTTCAGTCATCCACCAAGGCACTGTATCTTCCTTCTTCATTTCTTTTTTAGGTTGTCCAGGTGTTTTGTTTGAATTTTCAAAAGAATCATCTGAAAGCTGAATCAGATATTGTGAATTTTAAAATACATTGCAAATTCGAGAATCCTAGATTCATCACTAAAAATGTTTCTATTAGCTTTCTCAAGGTCAGCTATCACATAGATAAACAGTATTTTCATCCAATAACATATAAGCTCATATCTCTAAACATACGTGGCCAAAATAACTTCAAAACCAAGCACACATCTCTGAACACCAATCCCACATCCAGAATTAAGCAAGTAAACTAGGAGAACAACAATAGCAAAGAAATAAAGGAAACTTGATCTTTCTCGTTCAGCAAAGGAAAAAAGAATACAATCCTATCTTCTAGACATTCTCTAGAGATTTAGAATAAATGATGGTTGATCAAAATTACCTAGCATCACTCCAGAAGAACACAGAATTCCAAGGCAGGAAAGAACTGAGTTTCAGGGGTGGAGAGGGTGATGGTGTTGATCGGAGAAATCAGCATTTCATCACAATGATTAACAGACTCTAATAAATTTGTATGTGTCCTTTTTCACTCTTCTGGTCCAAATTTTACTATAATCTGAGATCTCTTACTCTAACCCCAATACCCGCATCCCTTTCAGCCAGTAACTTGGCCTTTCTCTTCACTGAAAAAATAAAGACCTTCACTCAAACACCACCCTGCTTCCCCTCAATCCACCACTAAACTCACCTGTGAAGGCACCACTTTTCTCTCTCCGAAGAGACAATTCTTTCCTTCCCTCCAAGTAGAATCTGCAGAGTGGTCCCTTCTCTGCAGGTTCTTCCTTCCTTGGTTATCCCATTTCATTTCTGTTATCTTCACTCCCTCCTCTCCCTACTCTCCCCACTTCACTCAGATTATAAACCTGATCAGCATTATATCTCCAGTGCCTTGCATAGCAGCTAGCACAATTGTGGAATGAAAGAATGAACACTCAAATCTACTCTACTTAAAAAAAAAAAAAAAAAAAAAAAAAAAAAAAAAAAGGAAAAGTTCTAGCTCCCTTTTACTCTGCTATCACTTTTCCTTTACATACCAGCTTGAGTTCACTGCTTAACCCCTTAAAATCTGGTTCCCATCCAAAAGAGCTCTCTTCCAGGCACCAAAGGGCTTTTAAATGCCACAAATAAGGGACCACTGTCAATCATCCTCTCTGATTGCATCCTGGTGACCAACTCTTACTTCTTGAAATGCTCTACCTTTGACGTTGGCTGCATCACTTCCTCTGGGTTATTCTTCAGCTGTGGCTACTCCCACCCATCTATTTAAACAGCTTTTGGCTCTTTTTGCCCATTTCTTTTCTGCTATCACTTTTCCTTTACATACCAGCTTGAGTTCACTGCTTAACCCCTTAAAATCTGGTTCCCATCCAAAAGAGCTCTCTTCCAGGCACCAAAGGGCTTTTAAATGCCACAAATAAGGGACCACTGTCAATCATCCTCTCTGATTGCATCCTGGTGACCAACTCTTACTTCTTGAAATGCTCTACCTTTGACGTTGGCTGCATCACTTCCTCTGGGTTATTCTTCAGCTGTGGCTACTCCCACCCATCTATTTAAACAGCTTTTGGCTCTTTTTGCCCATTTCTTTAACATGAGACTTTTCCAGGACTATGCTCTTGATCCTTTTTCATTCTCACTCTACACTTTTTCGGGGCAAGAAACCAACATATATTACATGCCTGCTCTATGTCAGGATCCACACCCAGGTTATCTCACTTAATCTTTAAATAATCCTGCAGAGATTTACTGATAAGGAAATTGAAGCTCAGAGAGGTTAAGCAACTTGCCCAAGTTGTTACTAAGTGTTACAGAGTGGGATTCAACTCTGATTAAATCCTGTCCACTTCCCACTATACTATGTAGTCTCTCAAGTAGACTATTGTTACCTGAGTGATCTTTTAAACTTGGGACGTCACACACACACACACACACACACACACACACACACACTTCCACCTGCCAAACAAAACAACTATAACTCAAAGACTCGTAAAAACGTCAATTTTAAAACATTCACAAATAACTCATTGTCTTCACTGACAACCAGGTAGGAGGAGTGGAGGAAGAAGAAAAAATATTCTTTATGCCATCTGAATTTCTGAAATTAGTTAGTTGCAGCTCTTTCTACTTAGTTTCTAAACTTCACTATCACATTAAAATGTTCCATTTCTCTCTCCTCCCCACATTTTTTTCAGTTTATTATCTGCAACACAGTCATAGGACCACCGACCCTGCAGGGCTGTGGCAAAGATCAGAAAAAGAAATGAAGAGTACCCACCCTACTGTCTAATACACAGTAGGTGTTCTCATTTTCAACAACCTTCCACATTGCTTTCCAGCCTACTGTCATTAAAAACAAAACAAAAACAAACCAAAAAAGCTGGTCCTCAGATAATAACAGTTTTGGCAAGGATATAGAGAAATTAGAACCCTAATAAACTAATAAATACAATGCTGGTGTAAAATGGCACAGCCACTTTAGAAAATAGTCCAGCAGTTCCTCAAAGGTTAAACATAAGAGTTACCATATGACCCAGCAATTTCACTTGTAAGCAATGTACACTAGAGAAATGAAAACATACACCACACAAAAATTTGTACATGACTGTTCATAGCATTATTCATAATTGCCAAAAAGTGGAAAGAACCCAAATGTACATCAACTGCTAAATGGATAAACAAAATATGGTATATCCATACACTGGAATATCATTTAGCTATAAAAAGAAATGAAGTACTAATACATGCTACAACATAGATGAGCCTTGAAAACATTATGCTAAGTAAAAGAGTCCAGACCCAAAACGCCACACACTGTAGAACTCCATTTTTGTAAAATATCCAGAATAGGCAAATCTTTAGAGACAGGAAGTAGATTAGTGGTTGCCTAAGGTTGGGGGAGGGGAGAATAGGAGATGGGGGTAACAGCTAATAAATAAGGGTTTCTTCTTGGGGGTGATAAAAATATTCTAAAATTGATTATGGTGTTGGTTGTGTAACTCTAATACCACTGGATTGTACACTTTACATAAGTGAATTGCATAGTATGTGAATTATATTTCAATAAAGCTATTAAAAAAAAGCTGGTCTCACCACTCTTCTAAAAACAAAGATGTGTAAACTATATCTCTGAACAAACTCAATGACCAAAGAAGTAGGCATGACTCTAAAATCATGGTTTTCGTTGTTAAAAATGAAACACTGCCTTACCCAAATCTCTAGCATGAGATAAGAGTTTTTATGAGTTAAAGATGAATATGAGAGGGAGGGGAACAAAGGGAGAGAAGGGGGCGAGGGGGGGAAAGTGGAGCTAGAGTGTTGGGGGGGGTGTGTATTAGAGGGGTAGTAAATGAGAGCTAGGAAAAAAAAAAAACAAACCACCAAACATTTTCTAAAAGGCCTGTACTGCTATACAATCAAAATATTTCGAAATTTAATTTTCAAAATGTGCCCACATTTGAAATTTTAAAAATCAGTTTTTCAAATGGGAAGTAAGACTTATCCTGAGTGTCTGTTACATCCTGGCAACTGGTAGATGCTTTTTTAAATCCTTAAAACAATCCAACAAAGTAGGCATTATTTTTCCTATGAGACAGATAATGAAACTGAAGTTCTTTCTACTACACCAAATTCCCTTTTCTTAGTATAACAGTTTTAAATATGACTCTCCAGAATTCTCTACAAGGCCCCTCCATTTATATAAATATATAGAATGTGGTGTAACCCTTTAATTTATTTATTCGGCAGATATTTATTAAGCATCTATTAGATACTGCAGATATAGCCATGAACACATAGAATGTGGTGTAACCCTTTATTTATTCGGCAGATATTTATTAAGCATCTATTAGATACTGCAGATATAGCCATGAACATACAGCTATCGCATCATAGACCATATTCATTCTTAATATGGAAAGCAGAAAATAAACACACAAGAATCGTAATCAATGATGCTAAGTGCTAAACAAAGAATTACTCACATCGTTTACTACTTGGCAGTTACTTGTACTGGTTAAACAGAAAAAGCCTCTCTGAGGTAGTGATATTGAAGGTGAGCTCTTCAACCAGGTAAAGAATAAGGAACCAGCACTGTTGGCAGAGGGAACAGCTAGTGCAAAGCCCCTGAAGTAAAATGAGCTTGATATGTCTGAGAGAGGAAAAAGGGTGCTTTTGGATAAATAAATAAAGTGGATGAGGGGAAAGAGTGATCAGTGAAGTAGACATAAGCACAATCAGGAAGGGGTTTATAAACCATGGTAAGGTGTTCGGATTTTATTCTTCATGTGATAAGAGACCGATAGTGTTTCATGCTGGGGAGGAAAAGAGTCCGATTTATGTAACAGATGATTCTAGAGGCAGTGTGGAGGAAGAAATGCTGGAATATTAGTTGGGAACTGCTGCAGCAGCCCATATGGGATGATGGTATGGAACTAGTAGGTGGCAGTGAAAAAGAAGAGAATGAAAGGGATAACCATTATATCCAGAGGCAGAGCTGACAGAGTGTGGTGGAACTGACTGTATCTTAGAGAAGAAAGAGAGAATTGAAGGATTACTCTTATTGAAGGAGAAAAAGTCACAAGATAGCTTTTAAAAGTATAAACTTACCTCTTTCATAAACTGTTCAAACTCCTCATCCAGCTTTTCTTTGGAATAGTGAGCCATAATCAATAATTTTCACTTCCCAAAGTAAACATTCTAAAGTTTTTACAACATCGGAAACACTAAATGACAAGAGACATAAACATCTTTTGAGGAAATCCGTCACATCATAAAAAAAAAAGACTTAAATTTCAGGTATTTGTTATGAGATAGTATATACGATCAATTAATGACCAGTAAGCTGGTCAAGAGATTCCTAATTCATTAAGCAAACTGACTTGGAAAAGCAGCTTTGACAGTCTGCCTCGTACTCAGGATTCAGAATTACATTTTTATCTGTTAATATCTAATTGTTAAAGGGTGGTCTCCACAATATTTCCTAAAGTTATACATATATGTGTATGTGTATGTGTGTGTGTGTGTGTGTGTGTGTGTGTGTGTGTGTTACTTCATAACCTTTCAAACACAAACCAGGTCCTCATAGACAATCTTAAACATTATAAATTAGTGAGTTCAAAGACCATTTCCTTCTTGCAAAGTACAGAACAGAATTTGTACTCCTTTATCATCCAGCTGGGTATTTTGCCACATCATATTAATAGTTTTGCAAAATAGACTGTTTCCAGATATGGAGATTCAGATGAATAGAATTTATGAGGAAGATTCAGAATACATGATGTAAAAAATACTTATAAAGTTAACGGAGTATACAAATCAGCACGAATTATGTTCCTTCTGAGGCGAGGGAAGGCCAACAAAACCTATGCACTGAACACCTTAAGAGGAATCCAGTGATTTGCATCGCAAAGTTCTCCCCTACGCCCCTAATGAACTCAATAGATCTGCTCTGGATCCTGGATTTTAACTCCCCGAGGCAGCTCAAGCCCCAGCTTTCCTTTGCAGAGGTGGGACTGGGGCGGGGGAGGGGGGTTGGAGTTGGAGATCCGGATGGTACCTTGCCCAACCGGCAGAATAACATCTCCCCTCATTAGGACTTTCCATCTGCTCAGGGTGGGTGCGGTTAAGGTCTTGGCCCCAACAGCTCGGTGAGAGGCGGACTCCAGTAAAAGGTCCCCAGCCCGGCGGGAAGGGCGGGCTGGGGAGCTGGCGGGAAGACAAAGACGCATTTGCAGTGCAGCCTCCGCGGAGGAGGGAAACCGCCCGTAAAACTAAAGCCCTGAGGACCGCGTCTGAGGCATGGCCTCGGCCAGCGTGATTGAGATGTGAAGCAAGGGTCCACGCCTCACCTACCTTTGCCTCTGAATTCCGCGCTTTCCTGGAAGGTCTGTGCGGGCCCAGCAGTTGCCCGGGTAACGGCCTTCAGTCGCTGGACTCCGGAGTCATATGACCTGGGTTGGTCACGTGGCTCGTGGGCCCAGCTGGGCAGCAAGTAGCTTCCTAGTGTTCTTCCTTACTAGCGAAGGTTGGAACTACCGCCGCTCAGCACAATAACATGCTGGGTGAGAGTCGTCGCTGCGGCACTAATACGCCCTCCCTAGCTTTCTCCGCACTCCTTGGAAAAGCGGACGGCAGCGAACGGGTTACTGGAGGGCGGGGACGCAGGCGTAATGGGGGCTAGCCCGTGGCTTCCTGGGAAATGTAGTTTAGCTCTCCTACTCTTGTGTTTCCGCACTTCGCGTCTTCCCTTCCCAACTTTCCCCATCCGCGTCAATTGAGCGCTCTGTTTTCCAAGCAGACGTTTTGAGAAGTCGAATTTATTGGATTTCCTTCAAGCGCAAAGCCCTGTGTGGGCGTCCTGAGAGAAATGCAAACCTGTGAGAAAGAACTCTGTTGGTCAGGATGGGGATCACCATCTAGTTCCACCACCTTGATCCACCACGTAGTGGACAAGAAATTGAACATACTGTACAGTACACTCACCCCGATGTTCTTACAAACACCGCTTCTCATCTCAAAGCGTCTCTATGGTTTCTCTTTTGAAAACCCCATTCTACAACGGCATTTTACAGTTACTTTATTGGATTTTTTTGTTTTCTATTCCTTACCAAAAAAAAAAAAAGACAGCATCAACTGGAGTTTCAGAGGACAGCATTTAGGATAATAAAAGTAAAATCGGCAACAGTTGAGGGGGTCCGCTTCTGGCGGACATAGCTCAGGACCTCATCTCCAGCCTGAACTTTTCATTCAACAAGCATTTATTGCGATCCAAATGCGTACAAGCCAGGAGCTGTGCTCTGCGATGCAAATATGAATGACATATTTTTAGCTACCATTTATCAAACATTTGATAGGAGCTTCAAGTGCATTATTTAACTTAATCCTCGCAATTTACAAGTTAGCTCAATTCCGTTTGTATTTTTATTTCTAGTATGTGCTAAATGAATAAGACAATCATACTCCTTGCCCTAATGGAGTCTTTGGTCTAGTGCAGCAGAAAGAAAAGCAGACCAGACAATTGCTTAGGGGGCGTGGTGAAAAAATTACTATGACACAAGGTACCATGAACCGAGAAAGTTTGAGAACCTTTCCCCCTGAGGCACAATTCATGGTCTAAAGTCAAAGTCTTACTTAGTATACAGTTATGCTATAAATTCATGGTCATCAACATTGACTGGGCATTCAACACCAGCGATCTTACTTTTTCTCTAGTAAGTTCTGCTCCTACTCTATACAAAAACTACTTTGTACCTCTCCCACCCTGCTCAGATTCTAAAATGAGCAACCTGTCCCTTGCCTGAAACTTTCCCGGTTTTATTATTGAAAGTCCTGAGTCACAGGAACCCTCTTGATCCCATGCAAACCAGGACAGTTGGTCACCCTAGCTCTGTCCCGTTCTTCCTTTATTCTTTTCCTGACATCACATGTCCATTATGAGCAGGTGGCCTTCTCTCATACCTCATTTAAGAAATAGACCTCTTGATCCCATGCAAACCAGGACAGTTGGTCACCCTAGCTCTGTCCCGTTCTTCCTTTATTCTTTCCCTGACATCACATGTCCATTATGAGCAGGTGGCCTTCTCTCATACCTCATTTAAGAAATAGATCCTATAAGGCTGGAGTTTCTTCATTATCTTTCCACTGAATCTATATATCTTTCCACTCAACCTAGTCTGTCAATTGCCTGTTGCAATGAAGGAAATGTACCACCTCCTATAAAAAAAGGCCCATCTGCCCAGGTATGATCTAGAGCCTTTACTCATTCTTCTAAGTAGTCTTCTTCCACTAGTCATTTCCTACTCTTCCCATATCTTCAACTTCTGGCCGTCTGGGGGATTCTTCTTAACAGCATTTGAACATGCCCTGGGATTCCCCCCAGCTAAAATGCTGCTTCCAAAATACTCTCTTCATTCTGTTTCCCAGTGATTGAACTCAACTCTCTACTCAACTTGCCTGCCAATCTTTTCTGAGGAACTATTTCGACTTTACCTCCCTTTCATCATACCTTCTAATCCAGCTTCCACCACACCAGGCTGCTAAAACTGTTCTTGGTAGTATCACCAATTTTCTCCACATTGCTAAATTACAAAAAAAAAAAAATGTATATATGTATATATATATATATGTGTGTGTGTGTGTGTGTGTGTGTATACATATACATATATATATATATGTATGTATGATATGTACGTAGATGTATAGATCTCTATCTCTCTCTAAGACATCACCTTACTTGATCTCCCAATATTATTTGATATTGATATGCTTGTGCACTCTCCCTTTCTTCTGCTTTTATGGCCTCCTCTCAGAGTCTTTCACTGTTCTTCCATCTATTCTACTTGACCTCTGAATGTTAGAATTTCTTAGGGCTCATTTCTGGGTTCTTTTATCTTCTTCTTTTGTCTTCTTATCTTTTACATTCTTATCCTAGGCAATCTAATCCTCACAGCTTTATAAATCATCTGTGTACTTACGACTCAATTATCTTCAATGATTTCTTATTGTACTTAGACTAAAATCCAAACATATATAAGGACTTGTATGATATGATTGGCACTACTCACCTCTATAGCCTCTTCTCATTCTCACTCACCAAGAGTTATTTACAGCTAGATTACAGAATTTAATCCTCTGGTCCTACTGAGCTTGTAATTAATGCTTTGGTAGAAGGGGTGGAGGATGAATATTATTGTGCCTGAAGAGTTGGTGATCCCTGTTTTGGACCTGTGTGCAAATCTACAGGACTTATGTTTACAGGACTCAAGAGTATGTCATGCTAAATTTTGGTAGTGGACTCACTAAGTTTTTGATACTCAATTGAATTATTATACCTTTTTTTCAGGATAATAGTCATCAAATGAATGGTTAATATTTATTGAGAGCTTACTTTGTGTTGCTTTGCCTTCCATGGATTTGTCATCCCTTTTCCCCTGAGTGATGGAGCTGCCAAAGATAACTTAAAGCCCGTCTCTTCTGAGCAGCGAAAAACCCTGAAAAGGGGTTAATCTGCCAGAACCCTCAAGATAGAGGCATTCCTTCCATTTGGGCAATTAACCATGAATTGGGGTTCTCTTTCTGAATTTATTTTCCAGCCCAGGAAGTTACAGAAAGAGACATAGGTGGGGTTATAGTTTTAACAAGTTTTAACAATAGAAACTGGTAACATTCAGTAAAAACAAGCCAGATGACATTCCATAAGGTAATTAAGTGATCCACTAACAAAAGCTTGATCTTAGCAAACATTCCTTCTCCCCACATAGCTTCCCAATATCTTTAAATATCAATCAGTAACTAGTCTGTCTTTGAACCAGCAGCCCTGCTGTGTTACACATCTTTATCTTACATCAGAGACTATCTAGCCTGGGGAAAATTTCCTGTTTTTTGTAAGGTCAATATTTGAAACTGCAAGGCTTTGGAAAACCAGGCCCTGTGAAGTACATTTGCTTTATCCATACTCTACATCTCCCTCTATTTTATTTATTTAAAAGAAAAAGCCAAAGCTATATATCAGGTTTTCACAGTTAAGACAAAAGCATTTAAAGCAAAGTTGGTATCATTTAGCATGGCAAGTCCTTTTAATTTACTTCAGGTAAGGACTGATGATGTCATCGTCTCAGAGTGGCTGCATTGGTGTCATTCCAGGTGCTGTGAATTGGGTGTAATTACCAATTGTTGAAACTCCGGAAAGGAATTCTGCTCCATAAAATAGTTGATTCTGAATTCAGAGAGTTTGTTAATGTTTACCTGTCCAGGACATTACTGTTTTCAGAGTCTTTTGTAAAATTTTTGATCAATTACGAGTCTTTTGTTCAAGAACAGGATGTCTCATCCAAGTTACAAACACCCTCTTTAAGGCCAAGAAAATTTAGAGAACTGCTTTTTTAGAGAAGATGTTATTTCCCCCTTTATGATCAAGGCATTCCTCAAAAAACATTGATGATCAATAGCTTGATTGAGAAGGTCTTATTTATTTATTTATTTTATAAATCCCTCGGTGTTGGGAAGGCTCTTTCCCAGGTGGTCTTGTGTCCCACGTCAGGGGGGAAAGATGAACAGCAGAAGAAGCAGCAGTTAGCCCAAATTAAGGCAACATGAAAGAGGGGTCAGCACTTAGAAGTGAGACATGCTCTCTTATATCCAAAGTTCTAAATTATATCCTGTTATAAAGAGAGATAGTTAATTTTCATTGAATTTGTAAAAATAGCCACATTGCCATAATAATCATAAGAATACTTTAAGTTGTTAAATTTGGGGGGGATCAAATAGGGAGAAAACAAATACTTTTATCTCTATTTTAAATGGCATTTTACCAATCTGTTGTTAGTTATAGATAGCTTAAGAGAGAGAGAGAGTTTTCTTACATTTGGAAAACAAGACATTAAGGGAACCAGCATTGTTTCAAAATAAGGAAATTGTAAAAACCCATAATTCTGTTTAATTAGTCCACTAATTAACTTTTGTTGTTTTGAACTTTGTGAACAATTTCACAAACCCATCAGTTTCTTTATTAAAATTTTGGAACTTTAGCTTAAAGCTATGAACTTAAAGTTTGTCAGGAAACTGTACCTATCAGAGTATTTCATGAGATATTTGAAAACATAACATTTAAAAATTATAATTAAACCAAGATTATGACCAGTAGCATTTATATCCAGACACAGCTATTTAAGAACCTTACAAGATTTTGGAACACATATCCATAACATCTTCAGTACTGACAATGCTTTCCCATATAGCCTAATTTATTAAGCCAGTTAGTTTTGATACATTTTTTATATATCCTTTGAGAAGCTCAAGGGTCCTTGGAATTCCTCAAAGTTATTTTAAACCACAAAGGTTGGGCTTACAGTTTTGGAAAGCTTTGTCAAGTAACAAAAGGCTTAAAAAACTTAGTTGAATAAAATCACAAATT